CCCTGTCTCCTGCCCCCTGTCTCCTGCCCCTGTCCCTGCCTCCTGTCCCCTGCCCCATGCCCCCTGCCCCCTGCCTCCTGCCTGACACTGACCACCAGCTCATGTGACCCATTAGACAGAAAGTAAAACTCCTGTCCTCTTGGATTTTCCAGCTACAGTGGGTCGTGTGACCAGTGCTGCTATACTGTGAGATCCAGAGGGCCCCAGTCTCTGGGGTCCTTTGCTCCTGATGCTATGCTGTGGATGTGGAGAGTAATGATAACGTACATCTGGGCAGAGCTGATGCCGTCCAAAGCTCTTCAGGGACTGTCAGTGATCTCATTAGTTTTGGCCAAAACTGAGCACAGAACAGGCAATGGAGGGAAATCTTATTTGCATGTGGCATAGGAGAAGACCAAGGCCCAGAGACAACCAGGAGAGTTCCCTGATGTCACACAGCAGCAGACCAAAAGAGAGCAGTCTCCCGGCTTGAGATGAGTCCAACTGTCTTCCCAGGCTATAGCTTCTGCCAGTATCCCAGTGACGACTCTCCTATACCCCTCACTTACGCCTTTCTTGCATCCCCCACTTGCAGGGGACACACATACCTTCACCCCAATGTTCACCACCATGGCATCCAGGAGGTCAAAGACGCGGGAGGTGACGCCATCGCCTCGGTCCTTCGCAAGCCAACAGTTACAGCGTAGTGTGTATTTGGTACCCTGGGTGGGCACCGCCAAGCACAGCTCCTCTACCAGCCAGCAGCTCTCGGGGGAGGCTCCATCATGGCCCAGCTGTGAGGTACACATCCCTGTGAGGATCTGGGCAGAGCCGAGAGAAAAGTCTTCCCTGCTCAGTGACCACTGCCTGTCTTGTGCTCTCGCCCTCAATGGTTCTTCCCGATATGCTGGACACTCACTGGCCAGGGGACCTTCCTTGGAGGAGAGGCGATTGAACAGGTCTTTGGGCTAATCAAAACAGGACCCGGGGTGGGCCTAACCTCATGAGGTGAGCTCTTTAAGAGAGAATATGGATGCTAGGGCTGGAAGAAGTCAGAGACGTTTGAAATGAGAGAGATCGTGTCTCCTACTGGCCTAGATCAAGAACACTGACTGGTTTTGGTGAGCGCCTCAAGGCAGGGACTGACACAAAAGAACCAAAGACCTCACTCCTACAGCAGCAAGAGGATGAATCTGGACAACAGCTAGTTGGCTTGGAGAAGGACGGAGGCTCAAGAAAATATCATAGATCTGGTCACACTTTGCTCTCGACTCAGGAGCCCTTAAAAGTCTCAGCTAGCCGGGCGGTGGTGGCGCACGCCTTTAATCCCAGCACTCGGGAGGCAGAGGCAGGCGGATCTCTGTGAGTTCGAGGCCAGCCT